CAAAAAAAAAAAAAAAATCTTTGAGTAGGAGTCTCACTCTGTCGCCCAGGTTGGAGTGAAATGGCATACTCACGGCCACTGCAGCCTTGGCCCACTGGGCTCAAGTGACCCTTCTGCCTCAGTCTCCCAAGTAACCAGAACTACAGGCGTGTGCCATCATACCTGGCTAATTTCTTAATTTATTGTAGAGATGAAGTCTCACCAAGTTGCCCAGACTGGTCCTGAATTCCTGGACTCAGGCAATGCTCTGGTACCCACTTCCCAAAGTGCTGAGATTACAGGTGTGAGCCACCACGCCTGGCCTTACATGATCTTAAAACAGCTATTTCTATAGGGCAGATAAAATTTGCATAATTCTCTAACAGTAAAATCTGTTCAAAAACTTACTTTGACAGTTATTCTTTTAGCTATCATTAGAGTTGAAATAAACAGATTTCAGTAAAAAAAAAAAAACTACAGGCTTGGGTCGAGGTTTTTTTTTTTTTTTTAAGAAAAATATACTGTATATAATACATCTTGGAAACTACAGACCATATGCTTTTATTTAATGTGAAGGCACACCTTTAACATAATTAAAAGCAAATGCAATTTAATTATTTATGACATAATTGTCAGTACCAACTCATAAAAATATATATTTGCAAGCTATTATTTAAGATTCTTTCAGATTGTCAATTCAAAATTTGATTTAAAAAGTTAAACTCTATTTGTAGAAAATCAATGACATTATTGCAGGTCCACATAATATCATTGCTGATCAATCTGTTCACCAGCAATCACAGGGTTTTCTTCATTTGTTGCAGAGTCCAGATGGTCCATCATCTAGGCACAAATAAAAGATGTTAGGAAATACAAAACTTCAACTTGCCCCCAATATTCACTAATTTAGCAAACAGATCCTCAGTTTTTAAAATAACACAGATTGCTCCATGGAACTGAGCATTCTTTTTAAAGCACTGTTTTAGTTCAATACCCACACTCCGGAGGAGATGATCAGAGTGACACTGAATCTTTCAGGAAGTCTAATCGTGTGACTCAGGACCAATTTGATAACTGCTTTTTCTGAATCTTTCACGATCTCCATTTCCCAGTATGAGTACTGCTCTTCATGGCAGTGAGAATGCCAACATGGAAAGAAGCTATTTCTGACACTTATTCCAGGACACTATTCCAGGCAGTGTCTACACATAGAGGTGGAAAAACTAAAAATGGCCCCAAGAGTCACTGTGAGAATGCCTGCAGGCTCTGGGACAGTGTAACATTACTGACACCTTGAACTGACCTTAAGACAATTTAAGAACAATACATGAAATTTTGGAAACAGTATATCAAACATTTCTACTAAAAAGCAAATAAACTTGAAGGTACTTAAAGGTCAAATTATATCTGAAAACAAAATCAAGAATACATTTGCTATAGACTAATTTAGAGGAAATACCAGCTAATCTTTTCTCAATCAGTCACTTTAGCTCTACCCATATTCCCATAGAGATTGTTTCATATTTGGGAATAAAGAAACTGCTTAAATGCTTATAGTGTTTTTACTGTTTTTCAGATAAAATTACATAAAAATAGAAAAAAGTACTTAATGTCTTTGTGAAGATTGTCAGATTTTTTGACTAGTGATTAAATTTCAGTATTGCCATGTACTTTTTTCTTCTCGTTTATGAAGAATTAGAAGAGGGAAAGATCAGCAAGATAAGTGTTCCTATTTTTGTAAACTGGTTCAAAAGGCTTTAGCGATTTTTGGAAGAGGAAGAAAAGGGAGAAATAATTTCCAAGTAGGGTCTTTGGACTTGCCAGGTAGAATACAACATAAGCTGAGGCTTTTGGCTGACAACTGTCTTGATGAATGGAGACAGCTTATAAAACACAAGCCTGCTGATACTACAAGTCATTTCAAGCCCCTCAACAGTCAGTTTTGAGGTACTTTATTTGCCAAAGATATCACCTAGATTAAGATAGCTACATATTCATAGCTCTTCTAGGGGGAAAAAAGCCAAATCAAGATTAACATTTTATTAAGCACTTCACTGCATGAAACATAAGACAAAATTATGGGGCAGTGACTTTTAGTCACCATTTAAATGAGAGGCAAAGGAGAAATATGCAAGATCTATTTAGTCTGCCCACCCCCTTCTGTAGGCCCCTTTTATTTTCTTTTCTTTTGTGTTGGAGTCTCATTTCGTCACCCAGGCAGGAGTGCAGTGGCACACTCATGGTCACCACAGCCTCGGCCTGCTGGGCTCAGGTGAGCCTTCCACTTCAGCCTTCCAAGTAGCTGGAACTACAGGCACATGCTATCATGCCTGGTTAATTTTTAATTTATTGTAGAGATAAGCTCTTGCCAAGGTGCCCAGGCTGACTCGAGTCAGGTGGGCTCAGGCAATCCTCACCTCAGCCTCCCAAAGTGCTGGGATTATAGGTGTGAACCACCGTGCCCGGCTATAGGCCCCTTTTCTTCTAGCAGTTTAAAAGCTCTGGGTGAGATGGATAGTGGGAATGGATGATGGGAACTCTTTGTCTTTCCCAAGATATGCTTACCCTGACAACTGTAACTTAATTAAATAATACCCCAAATTATAACATGCCTCTTCTTTTCTAACCCCCAAGTACCTTGTTGGCACTATACAGTACTCTAATTCCTAAATATGAAATATATTAATTAATTTATTTTTATTTTATTTTATTTTAAAGGAATGAGGCACACAGACAGCCAGAAGATGGAAAAGCAGGATTTATTGAGAGGACAGAAGAGCTCCCAGAGCAGGAGGGGACCTGAGGAGGTTGCCCAAAATATATTGATTTTAAAAAACTTTGGGGCCAGGTGCAGTGGCTCAAGCCTGTAATCCCAGCACTTTGGGAGGCAGAGGTGAGGGGATTTCCTGAGCTCACAGGTTCCAGAACAGCCTGGGCAACTTGACGAGACCTCATTTCTACAATAAATCAAAAAAGTTAGCCGGGCCGTGCTTGGTGGCTCAGCCTGTAATCTCAGCACTTTGGGAGGCCGAGGGGAGAGGATTGCCTGAGCCCGTGAGTTTGAGACCAGCCCAGGCAACTTGGCGAGACCTCATCTCTACAATAAATAAAAAACTAGCCAGGTGCTGGGCTCGGTGGCTCAGCCTGTAATCCCACACCTTTGGGAGGCTGAGGTGAGTGAATTGCCTGAGCCCGCGGGTTCGAGACCCGCCTGGGCAGTGAGACCTCATCTCTACAATAACTAAAAAAATCAGCCGGGTGTGGTGGCGCATGCCTGTAATTCCGGCTACTCGGAAGGCTGAGGCGGAAGGATCGCCGGAGCCCAGCAGGCCGAGGCTGCGGTGGCCAGGAGTGGCCACTGCACTCCAGTCTGGGTGACAGAGTGAGACTCCAACTCAAAAAAATAAAAATAAAAATAAATAAATAAAAAATAAAAATAAAAAAAAATTAGCCAGGTATGGTAGCGTGTGCTTTAAGTTCTGGCTACTTGGAAGGCTGAGGTAGAAGGATGGCCTGAGCCCAGCAGGTTGATGCTGGGGTGGCCATGAGCATGCCACTGCACACCAGCCTGAGCGATGGAATGAGACTCCCACTCAAATAAAACAAAACCAAAAATCTTTAAAAGCCATCTTATTAAGAAGTAAGCATCTTTACTCTCTACTGACTTTTCAATAAAAAAAATAGTAACATAAAGAGCAAACAGTTTTAATAAATCAACAAATTAGCATAAATAAATTAATGAGCAAAATTGATAAACATTTTCATAGTATTTGTAAACGGGCAAGTTCAGTTCGGTAAGATACTTTGAAACTAGGTCAGGTATCCTGACATTTTCTGATCGCTCTCTTATTTATAATTGAACCAATCTTCAAGTCTAGTAAAACACTCATTAAAAGCAGAGTAACAGGAGAGTTGTTTATACTAAGCAGAGTTGTTCTAAGTTATCTCTGTAGTCTGACTTGTCAGTTACAGCTCATGACTTCTAAAAATAATTAGAAGTACTAGTGACATTTAACAGACAACTCACCGTTTACTGGGTATCAACAAACTGAAAACTGAAACCCCACCCAGAGTAACTGAAAACTAAAAACTCACCCAGAGTAAAATAGCCCACTGGAGGTTGCTGCATAAATCTAACTCCACTGGTTTAGTATTAGAATAAAAAAAGTCCCCTAAAATGATGATTTCTCTTAATTGTTCTATATGTCAAAGTGATTATGACTGCTTGATTTGTCCCTTGCAAGGAAATAATACCTTTGTATACTCTATACTAATTCAAACAAAGACTTCACATAAAATCAAAAAAATGGAACTGAATACTATAGTTTTTGAAGTATTCCAGAAAAAAAGTTCATAAGAAATATAACTAACTTTGGGTTGCAGAAAAGAATTTACAGTAAAGATTTCCAAATTAAACTGGGCGCGGTGGCTCATGTCTATAATCCCAGCACTTTGGGAGGCTGAGGTGAGAAGATTGCCTGAGCTCACAGGTTCAAGACCAGCCTGGGCAACTTGGTGAGACTTCATCTCTACATAAATAAAAAA